TTTCCTCAAAAATAAAACAAATTTATTAATAAAAGTTTTTATTTATCACACGTGTACAGTCTTGTCCTCTCCCTTTTTCCGTGTCACCCACGTGACATTTCCCTCCTGGAAATAATCTTCAATTTGACTCAACGTCTTTCCCTTAGTTTCCGGTAGCATGAAATAAAGAAAAACGCTCGCGACCAATGCCGTGCCTCCAAAAATCCAAAACACGCCATGCACCCCCACTCCATTTTTCATAACCGGAAACGCCTTCGCCGTTGCAAACAGGACGAAGTTGAAAATCATGAAGGTTAAGCCTCCCGCCAAACCCCGGACTTTTGCAGGAAACAACTCGCCGAGCATGACTCCGGGTAAAATCATGAAACCGACCGTGTTTGTAGCTACGTAGAGTAGCACACAGAGGGCGGGGAAGTAGCCCCCGGAGTCGGAAATCGTGCAATTGTCACGCGGGTAGAGAAAAGTGCCGAGACATAAGGCCGAAATTGCGGTTCCGAGACCGGAAGTGAGGGCTAACGCCCGGCGCCCAATTAGGGCCAAAAGGGCCGAAGCCACAAGAGAGAAAATAAAACGAACACCAGCTGTCAAAACAGCAGTCATAAAATGGTCCATTTGGTTATTTATATGACCCAAAATATCAACGGCGTAGAAAACTATAATGTAAGTCCCGGAGAAGATTTGCATGATGTTGAAAACATTGATTATGATGAAAGGTTTGATGACTTCCGGGCGAAAAATCACATTTCCGGTTCTAGTAGCCGTCTCGATTTTTTGTTCCCTTTCAATCCGTTCTGTTAAATGCTCCGTTTCGAGTCGAGCCTACATGGAAAATTATCCCGAGTTGCATACAACATTTCACCTACTTACTTGAATCGAATCTCCGCCCCGGAGCCACACTAGTGCCTTTCTAGCCTTCTCGGGTTTGTCATTCCGGACCAACCACACCGGACTTTCGGGCAAGAAAAAGAAAATTGTGATTGCAAGAACCGGCAACACTGTACTTAACCCTAGGATCAGATTTAGTAACTTGTGAGTTTGTCAGGGTTACTCACCTGCAACCAACCGCCAGGGAAGCACCGACCCTAGAGCATAAACGAGGAGAATCCCGAAGGAATAGCTCGCGAATGGAACACTCGAGAACATCCCGCGGAGATGCGGTTCGGTAATTTCCCCAATCAGGACCTGGAATTTTTTTATTACACTACTGATGGGTTTTTGGGACTTGTACCTGGCCTGCAGCGGCTGTGAGTCCTGCTGATAATCCTGCGACAACGCGGCCTGCTAGCAGGATTGCGTGATTGGGGGAAAGACCGATGAGGATCCAGCCGAGAATTAAGGGGAGAGAAGCTATTTGTAAAGCTAATTTTCTGCCGCAACGGTCCATTAAAAGGCCGCTGAGGAGAGAGCCAAAGGGGGTGGCGGCGGAATGGACACTCGCTGTGGAAAAATCAATCGGGGGTGATTTTTATGCTAAGCGGGAGTCGCGAGTTAAGCTCGAGGGGGATTAGGATGAAGAGTTTCATTTGCGGACGGAATCCCTTGCGATTTGTTCAACTTTGGGATTTTTGCAATAAATGGGTCGGAGCCTGCGGGAGTTATTGATTATAACATGCAAATTTTTGAGTTTTTGAATTCACCGCCATTTTGGACACGGTTAAATTTAGACGAGCCGCCACTGGCGCCCTATATTTTACAAAATCTTTTACTACTTAAAAATAGACAAAGTTTCTCCCAGCTCCTCTACCAAAAACACTCTCTTTATTTAATTAATTTAAATATTTATTATTAGGCCAAATTCCCAAAAGTTCGAAACAAGTGACAATCAACAAACTCATAAATAAACGTTTGCTAGCCCGCATAAATTATATCGCAATCCACAACGACAAAAAATCACAATTCTTAATGTTATTTATTATTAAGTCGTGTACTTAGCTACAGACGAAATTATTTTTTGCATTGTGGTTAAAATACAACCCCCGACGCCACTGTCTTATGTCAAAGTTTTAACGTGAAGCCGGTAAGTGGCGTCAAGTGCAAGTTTCGTATTTATTAAACTTTTTTGGGTGGTTTTTACTACAAAAAGCTTCAGAATGGCTGAAGGAGTTTTTATTTACTCTTGCGGTGAGAAGGTTAGTGCGCTTTGCGAGTTTTCATCAAAAGTTTGCCAATTTTGGTGAAACAAATGGCGATCAAGTTACCGAAATTTTTCCTGAAAAAAGGCTTAAAATTGTAAAAACAGCCGTTTGTTCCTTTTTTCAATAAAGTATTTGGCCATTTTATTGCAATTTCATAATTTTTTTCGGCTTTAATGTGAAACAAATGCCGGCGACAATGACTTCAGGTTGCCGCGATTTTCCGGTAATTTTTCGTAAAAAATTTGATTGTAAGGGTCGTAATGTCTATTTTGAGACTTTTTGTCAACTTTTACAAAAGAAATATTAACGCCCTTTGCGTCATTTAGTTGAAATTGTCTTTTATTACTTCGTACTAGTGAAACAAATGTCGGTTGGCAAGACTGCTGCGATTTTATTAGAGACGCTTGTATGCAGTAAAGGGACAATCAAACACTTGTTTTAAAATAGAGCCCTTGATTTGTGCATTTTGGCTTATTTTATAGCAGTTTTTATTTTTTTTTTCTGACTTAAAAATGTGAAACAAATACTAGTCGACAATGGCCTAGTTTTCTCAAAATTTCCGGTCATTTTTCGTAAATAAATTGATTGCGAAGGTCGTAATGGCCATTTTAAGACTCTTCTAAAATAAAATATTGCGTCATTTATTCGAAATTGTGAAAAAAAGTAAAACTTCGTACTGGTGAAACAAATGTGGGTTGGCAAGACTGCTACGATCTTCTTAAAGAAACTTGCGAATAAAATGTCAATACTCTTTTCGTTAAAGGGCACTTTTGGGTTACATTACGTCCATTCGACAGTAAATCAAAGATTTGTTTTATTAGTTATTCACGTATTTAAGGCTTTTAAGAAAGCCATAATGACCAAGGGAGTCGTTATGGCCCTTAAAACGGCACGTTTTTCATTCTATTAAATTATCGTATAAAAAAAAATTCAAATTTTAAAAATTTAACAGTTCTGTGAGTTACTAGAGTATTATTGACAGCTTAAAGATTGTAAATTGATGAATATTACTCACGACGAAAAATAATAAAAAGGGCCGTTTGTTTGCTTTTCCAATAAAATGTTTGTTCATTTTATTGCAATTTTTTATTTTTTTCCGATTGAAATGTGAAACAAATGCCAAATGCTTCAGTTTGCCGCTATTTTTTGTAAAAAAACTTGATTGCAAGGGCCGTAATGACCATTTTGAGACTCTTGTCAACTTTTACAAATAAAATATTAACGCCCTTTGCGTCATTTAGTCGAAATTGTGTTTTATTACTTTTATTTATTACTAGTGAGACAAATGTCGGTTGCTGCGATTTTATTAGAGACGCTTGTATGCAGTGAAGGGCCAATTAAACATTTGTTCTAAAATAGTAAAAAGAGCCCTTGTATTTGTGCAATTTGGCTTATTTTATTGCAATTTTTTATTTTTTTTCTGATTGAAAAATGTGGAACAAATGCTAGTCGACAATGGCCTAGTTTTTCAAAATTTTCGGCAATTTTTCGTAAAAAAATTGATTGCGAGAGTCGTAATGACCATTTACGACTCTTCTGACAACTTTTCCATATAAAATATTAACGCTTTTTGCGTCATTTATTCGAAATTGTGAAAAAAAAAGTAAAACTTCGTACTGGTGTAACAAATGTGGGTTGGCAAGACTGCTACGATTTTTTTAAAGAAACTTGCTAATAAAAGGTCAATACCCTTTTCGTTAAAGGGCCACTTTTGGCTTACATTACGTCCATTCGACAGTAAATCAAACATTTGCTTTATTAGTTATTCACGTATTTAAGGCTGTTAAGAGTGCCATAATGACCTAGGGAGTGGTTATGGCCCTTAAAACAGCACGTTTTTCATTCTATTAAATTATCGTATTAAAAAAAAATCAAATTTTAAAAATTTAACAGTTCTGTGACTTACTAGAGTATTATTGACAGCTTAACCATTGTAAACTGTTGAAGATTACTCACGACGAAAAATAATAAAAAGGGCCGTTTGTTTGCTTTTCCAATAAAATGTTTGCTCGTTTTATTGCATTTTTTATTTTTTTCCGATTTAAATGTGAAAGAAATGCCAGGGGAAAATGGCTTCAGTTTGGCCAATTTTTTGTAAAAAAACTTGATTGCAAGGGCCGTAATGGCCATTTTGAGACTCTTTTGTCAACTTTTACAAATAAAATATTTTTTAACACTTCGTATTGTGAAATAAACGTCGGTTGGCAAGACTGCTTGAGAAACTTGTGAATAAAAGGTCAATGCTCTGCGTCAAAGGGCCACTTTCGGCTTACATGTCCATTCGAGATTAAATCAAACATTTACTCTGTGAGTGAACAATGCGTAAACACACACATCTTGACCCAAATCCGCCATTATCTCGTCAATTCGGTAAAAAAGCGGTGAGTCTCCGGAATTGCACCGGTAGGTCGTCTCGATTCATAAAACGACAAAGATCTTGACCTATTTTTTGCGTCCATTGAAGGTGAAGCCGAGTGAATGACCTTACTATTGAGTTAAATTGAGTAATTAGCCACTCTTGAGGAAGAAAAATATTTGGGGTGTTGAACCGGTCAAGACTGATGAAAACTAATGATTTATTGAGTGGGTAATGGGGCTTACCTATCCAAGAACCAATTTCGTCGTCGATTTGCAAGGTCTCGTTGGGGTACTTCAGCTGGGGGAGGAGCACCGCGGAGTACCCCACGGGCATGCCGCAGCTCGCCGAGCTCAGCATTACGGCACTTGTCACAAAACTCTGAGAAAATAAAAAAAATTGTTAACACTTCAATGTAATGCATATTTTTTTTCCTACCTGAGCTGCTATACCCTTCCATGTGCATTTTTTCCTGTTTTGGGGCCTTTTCTCTTGCAAGGGTTGGTACTGCGAGGTTCTAGTGTCGTCATCAGTGCTGCAAACTCACTATAGAAACCAGTTTTTCCCCCAAAAGTCCCTTACCTACCTGTGATCTGATTTGGTATCGGAGCACATTGTCAACTGTGACAAAGTGCTTCATCTTTTTGTTTTATCCGTCTTGGTGGAGTAATATTTGAGCCCCCTCCACGCCTAAATCCTTGTCTCTCATCACCAATAACGTTTTTGCAAATGAAACTTCCGTTCTATTTTTTCGCGCGGAGGATCCTTGACGGTCTTCAGGTGTTGATTTTTTCGCAAATGTGGGTCAATTGGGGTTTCAATTGTCGATGACCTTGACGACACCCACCAGTTAAAACTCTTGGAAATTATCAAAGGCTTAGAATTACTAATTTGAGTTGGAAAATTTGTTGTTTGTTTATCAAATTTTATCACCTTGACCTCTTTTCATTCAAATAGTTGGCAAAATTTAAATCAACTGAATAAAGATCTGTCTTACAATTTGAATAATTTGATTGGTTTTATTTTTAAATTGATTTCGTCCGTTTACGAGTGACTCATTTTGCAACTGGTTTTATGTTTACATTATTGGCTATTGATTTTGGCTATTTTGAAATAAAAATGACTAAATTTGGTTGCAGGTAACAGTTTCAGGACCCTTTAAATAGTTATGTGAGGATGCGGTTTTAGGGCAACTGTTGAGGGTAATAAACTAATTAAATCCGTTCTAGGAAAACTTTATTATGTAAAATTTACAATTAAAAGAAAAATTGGTTTTCTCTCCTTAGGATAAATTAAAATAAGTTTTCACATAAAATTAGTTTAACGTCTTGAATCCGTTTATTATCCTGATTTCGTTAATTATATTCTAGTTGTTGCAAAAATTACTTCAGCAATTTAAAGTTTTCTCAAATTCCAGTACATCTAACTCGAGTCGTTTCTTTACATTTTGAAACTTGTTATCGCTTCATAAACTTTCTGACGCTTTCAGCTTTTCTGAGCTTTGGCTCGAGATAATGAAAAACATATGTAATAATAAATTTTCTTTAAATTATCAGTTGGCCAACTGAGACTTGCTGTTGACAGCTTCGTTAGTTTTTTTGTAACTTGTTTTCGAGTCAATGAGTCATCAAATGTTATCACAAAATAAATTAATTAAATGTTAGCGAGAGGAGGAGTGTAGGTAGGTGATTGAACACGTCTAAAAATAACACAATTATTTATTTACAATAAATTGTTGCGGGTTTGGTTCAAGAATAACTTTGTGCATAAAAATGTCGGAGATAATGTAGACTTTGTTGTAGAATTTGTTTATTTTCATCGACTTTTGCATGTTTTATTAGACCACGTACTCTGTTTTGTTTGCGTCTACGTTTTTAAGCAATAAAATTGGAATTGAAACGAAACAAAAATGTTAAAAAACGTTTTATTATGGAATGGAATTAAATAAGCAAAACACTGAATAAATTATTATAATACTCACACAACTTAATCTAACGATTAAATATAAATTAAAGTTTTGACTAAATAATTAGAAACACAGAGCCATTAGTGTTGCCGGTCCAATACACCGCGTTTTCTCCTTCTTGGGGGTGGCACTGGGCACCTCCTCCTCGATTTGTTGCAACTCCACTTGTAAAAGTCCATCATTGGTGAAAAAAACCAACTCTTCTTGTTTCGCTTCATCAGCGGTGGTTGTCGAAAGTTGGTAATAATTTTTTGTGTCGATATTTCTCAAGTCGGCCACACAAACCAGAAGGAGAACGAGAGAAAGCACTCGAAACATGTTGAATTTTCGTCAATAAAGACACTTGTGTTAACTTGGTCGAGGTTTTTCCCGGTTTGATGTGTCGTGAGGGATTCGTGGTTAAAGTAGTGAAATTTTTGATGACCCGAGGACCTCTCGTAAGTGATAAAGAATATCGTTAGTAATAATACGCAAAGTTCATTCGTACAGCTTTGCTCTGTTTATTTCGGGGACACCACATAAATAATGAATAAAAAGAACGGACAGTCAAAACAATGAAGAGAGGATTCGAAAATAATGCGGAGTTTACGAGATATTGTTTACTATTGGAGTGCTGGACGAGGGGGTTTGGGTTGAGGTGGGTTAGGATTATTCATGCATTTTGGGTTATCGAAGAGAAATTGGTTGTTTTTTTGGATTGATATCAACAGTCAATTATAAATAGCAGGCAATTTTTTTAATTATTCTTGTTATTTTTAATCTAAAAGTAAACATTTTGAGAAGATCGGGAACTTCAATACGTGGTATTGCACGATTTGTCAAAACTCAATTTTCTAAACAATAAACTTTGACTACTTTGGTCGACAAAAAATTATTAAAAAAAATAATGATAGTAACATATTTGCATTATTCAAAAATATTCTCAAAAAATGGAGAAAGTATAAATGCTCAGTCTTAATTTAAAAAAAAAAAGTATGTGTGAATATTATTAACATATTCGTAAATAACAAGGTTTGTTTCTACTCAAAAATTTTTAGTTGTTTTTTATTTTATTAATTTTGACTAAAGTATATTGAAAACGGTTTATGTTTTGTACTATACCTATGTAAAATGTTCTGGGGAGTTGGTTGGCATAAAATTCGGGCTCCCGTGTGATCGCACAAAGTTTGTAAATAAATTGCAATTTTCTTAAAATGTTTTTAAAACATAAAACCAAACCAAATATTTTCAAAGAATTGTAATTAATAAAATGTTTAAATTGAAAAATGTTCATTAACAAAAATGTCCGCATGCAAAACTAAAACTGGACATTTTCTCCAAGCAAAGCGTTCATAAACAAAATCGTGGTATCAGGAGCACAGCAGTGCAAGGAATGGCGAAAGCGTGATCAAATTGACTGATCAAGTGATCACCATATGCGCACTCCTTTCAGTTTTTGCTAATCATTCTTGCGCAGCGCCTTTTGTAAAAAACTGAGTCAGAAAATGTGACGTCCGAGATTGGGTGTGTTAAGTAAATGTCTTTGAACATTTTATTTTGTGTTAAATATCTTTTAGCAACGAACATTTTACACAAAAGCGTCTTTGGTTCCTTTGACTTTGTATTTTTGATATTTACTGTAAGAAAATTATAAAATTAAAAGTGCTTTCAATAGACCGCTCCGGGTACCAAAAAATATTGTCAAAAATCTAAAAATTGAAAACTTTAAAATTGATCGAAATACATTTCAAGAGGTCTAAAAGTGCATAAAACGTCGTAGAAATACAAAAATTAGAAATTAAAAAAAAATTAATATGAATATATTAGACCAGAGCACAAATACATGTCGGGAGCTTGGTGGCGTAGTGACATAAGGTCACTAAAATATCAAAATATCAACTAAAATTTTGTATTTTAATAAATTTTAATCCTATTAGGGGACCTGTTGTAGTAATAGAGTACAATTTTTTGAGATTTTTGCAGTCAAAAACGCTTCCAATTTTTTTTATTTGTGTAAAATATTTTAAAGTTTTCTTATGTAAAATCTTCTGAAAAGTCAGTTAGCGTCGAAAAAACTGCAATAGTTTCTAGTATAGGTTTTAACTTTTTAGCATTTTTCTCGCTAATTATTTGTTTTTATATGACAGAAAATGAAAAGTGGTTTTCAACGGGACCAAACACAAGCGGGTTATTAATAAAAGTTTCGGAGTTATTAACTAATAACCAAAAATCGACATAAATCGGGAAAGTTGAAAATTTCAATATTTAACCCAATGCATTCTCAGAGGTCAAAGAGACACAGAAAAATGCATACAACGTTTTAGAAACGCAAACATAAATCTATACATATAAATCTATGAATATATTGAATTAAAGAATTGAAACTACCGGCGGCGTGGTGGCGTAGTGACAAAAGGTTACTACTTCCGGCAGGTAGGTGCGAGGTTCGAATCTCACAAAAAGGGGCAATTTTTCTCTAATCTAAATAAGAGAGCATAAGTGCATAAGAGCAAATAAGAGCGCATAAGCATGAGAGCTTTTTATCGTAAAATATGAAGTAAAAATTTGTTACTTAATAAGTTTTAATTCTTTTTGTATCCTGTTATAATAATAGAGAAGAAAATTGATTGGCGTCGAGAAAATCGCAAAATTCTTGATAGTTTAGAAGTTATTGTCGAATTAAGATTATTGCTATTTTCGTCTTTACCAGCGATTTTCTCAGTAACTATTTATTGCAGAACTATAATCTTTTTTTATGAGATAGGAAATTATAAGTACTTTCCAACGGTGCTAAACATAAAATAGTTGTAAAAAAACTTGCAATAATAATTTGCATTGACGTGGTTGTTGTAGTTACTTGTAGTTTAAGTCGCATATAAATAGTAGTTGTGTTTTAATCAATATCTACTAAACATTAGCACATATGGAGCACTATCTGATCAAAATTTACCGGCCTTGTACCGTCGTGTGTCTCCTCTAATAGTAAACAAATCGAGGTTATCGATTATGTATCGATCGTTTATGTTTTTGACACTTAAATTCATTTATTGTGTCGTAAAATTGAAACAGCATTAACCTACAATACTTTATCTTCGTTGCGGCCACTCTGAAAACCAACCCATCAAAGGCTTACTTTTATACATCTTTGAAGAATTATTATTTTATTTAAAAAGATGCGCTTTGAAAGCGCTGAACCTGAAGAGATAGTAAAGTCTAAAAGCAGAGTCGGGATTGTATTTCCTTTCTGTTTGAATCCCGATAATATGTCAAATTAGACAGACCTTTTTCTTCAAGGATTTATTATGGAAATTTCGACGCAATAATAAATGAAGTCGCTCATAATTTTTAACTCAAGTTTTTGGATAGTTTTCCACCTAGTCTATTATTCAAGGGTGATTTATTATGAATGAAAAATGGTCCGATTGATCGGATACAAGCAAAATTAATTACACTTGGAATCAGACTGAAATTTTTATCTAGTAATTAATTAATTGAGAAAAATTGTCAACAATTCGATTAAAATTATCTGTATTTGGTACCGCTTTGTCATAAATTTGATTTGTTTGTCATTATTTGGATAGTGAACTTTAGAAGTAAAACCGGTAATAGAATTTTGCTAAATTCGACTTGTGTTAGTTTTTAAGTTGCAATTTAATCAATTTTATTGTGATTGAATTTCTCGTAAGATCAGAACATCCCTTATCAGATTTCCTTTGAATTATAATGTGATGAGGGGTGGATCGGCTTGTTTTATTATTTAGTCGCGAAATTAAACTCGGTTTTTCTATCCGGGCGCATCCACCAGAATTGCTCGTAATCTCAACTCGAGCTTTATTTCTCCGAGCTTCGAACGCCATTTACTCTATCTCAGTGTATAGAAGAGTCCTAGATAAAAATGGGTTGCTATTTCCTCGACGATTATCACCTCTGTTCTTATCACTCGAGACAGATCGATAGTAGAAAAATTATTAAAATTGTTAACAAATTTGAGACGCCGTATGTTGAGAAATTTCATTAAGAGATAACGGTTTTGTGGCCGATGCAATTTTGCGAGGAACGATGTTTCCGTCGTCGGAGGGAAAAAATGAAAAGTTGAGAGTTATTGGAAATTCGGGAGGTGATGAGAAATGTGGAATTTTTTATGTAAATTATTAGAAAAATTTGGGATTGTTTTCAAGAATTTGATTAATGATGAAACTAGCTCTTTGATCTTTTACTAAATTGAAATTTTGGGTAATGTAGCGAAAGGAACACACTAATTATGTTTAATTGCGCGTTTTACCTAGTTGTTTGGAATGGAAAGCTTTCAAAATGAAATTTTTGTCATTGAATACAAACGTGATTCACTTAGCATTTTAATATTCTCCGAGGTGAATTGTTTTAATTTCATGTGTTGTTTTTTTCTAGACTATAAATTATCTAGGTCAGAAGCTTAACATATTTCTGAAATAAAACGTAGTTCTCCGTGAAATTTATGATTTATCACTTGATTTATTTAGACGACCTATTGGTACTTTGTACTCTTGAATTTCTAGGAAATTGTGCTCGTTTACCCTCATTTTTTATGGGGATTTTTTATTGGAGCGATTTTAGATAAAATTGGTCTATTATACTGCGCAATAAATTTGCGTTTTAGTAGCAGAAAACTCGGTTTTTATTACAAAATCATTGCAAAAAAGGCAGTTTTGTCCGACGGTAAATTTCAACGTAGTTTTTTCTGGCTCTTTTACCTTTTGAAAAAATCGAAAAAGTTTGAAAAAACACGAAACCTCTATCTTATTTTGTTTTTTTTTTGTTAAAATGTTTTAGTTTTAGAAAAAAAATGTTTTTTTTTTGAAAAAAACTATTGCTCATTTTTTGTAAGAATTTTAAGTTTGAATATTTTTAGATAAAATTGGTTTATTTTAATGCGTAATAAATTTTCGTTTCAGAATCAGGAAACGTAGTTTTTAATAGAAAATAATTGCAAAGAAGGCAATTTCATCCGACGGTTGATTGCAGTGTAATTTTTTTCTTGTTGTTTTACTTTTTGAAAAAGTTTTGAAAAAGTCGACAAAAACATAAAATTGTGGTTTTTGGGAAAATTGTGTTAAAAATTTTAATACTCACTGTTTTGGTTTAAAAAAAATATTTTTTTAAAAAACAAAACTATTGCGCATTTTTTGTGAGAATTTTTTATTTGAACGTTTTTAAATAAAATTGGTCCATCGTACTGCGCAATAAATTTGCATTTTAGTTTATTAATTAGAAAATCATTGCAAAAAAAATTATCCGACGATGCAAAGTAATTTTTTTCTTGTTTTACTTTTTGAAAAAGTCGAAAAAAAAATATAAAAAAATTGTTTTTGGGAAATTGTGTTGAAATTTTTAATAGTCACTGTTTTAGTTTTAAAAAAACTATTGCTTATTTTTTGTGAGAATTTTTTATTTGAACGTTTTTAGATAAAATTGGTTCATTGTACTGCGCATTAAATTTTCGTTTTAGTATGAGAAAACCTAGTTTTTATTAGGAAACCATAGCAAAAAAGGCAGCTTTATCCGACGGTTAATTAGAAAGTAATTTTTTCTTGTTGTTTTACTTTTTAAAAAGTCGAAAAAAAAAACATAAAATTGTTGTTTTTGGGAATATTTTGTTAAAATTTTTAGCTTAAAAAATATATTAAAAAAAGCAAAATATTGCTCATTTTTTGTGAAATTTTTTCTTTCAACATTTTTAGATAAGATTCGTTTGTTATACTGCGCAATAAATTTGGTTTTCAATATGAGAAAAGGTGGTTTTTATTAGAAAATCATTGCATAAAAGACAATTTTATTCGACGGGTAATGACAAAGTGGTTGTTTTTTGTTGTTTAACTTTTTGAAAAAAGTGTTTTTTGGTGTTTTTTTGAATATTGTGTCAAAATTTTAATACTCACTGTTTTAGTTTTAGAAAAAGTTGAAATTTTTGTAAAAAGCACAACACTTGGCACATCGAGTTATTGTGTCTGAAACATTCAAAGAACTTCTAATGATAATTTTTTAGTTCAATCAACCTGGAAATTGATTTATTGGACTTGCAATCAGAACAATTACATAAGTCAATATATTATTTTTTTATGACATGTGTTTGCGACATCCGGTCCAGTCATGATCGTTAAAAATAATCATTTCTAAGCCATTTTACCGGGAAGTTTCTTATGAAATCCATTTTAGAATTTCATCATGCAGAAAACTAAGGTTTTCGAATGATAAACTTATCAAATTTATCACTTTTACAAAAACAAACAAATTAATTATGATTTTGCATGTGTCCGTTGATGTAAAAACACAAAAAAGTCACGATTGTCGTGTTATTAAAAGATGGCAATTTCTTGCAACTCCCACGACAAGATGGCCGCTGAATGGTGTTACAAAGTCCATGGTTGATGATTTTTTGCGTCGAATTTATTTCAAAATAGGAACAAATAAGAAATGAAAAATTTCTTGCAGACTTTGGACTAATTTTTTACCTCAGAATAGAGGATATTTTGCGCTCACGGAATATCAAAATAAATCAATCAACGGAAAAAACAATGAAGGGGGAAATTGAAGGAACAAAAGATTCAATTACAACTCTACACAAGCGGATTTAGAGAGATACAAAGGTAATTCGGCTAAATGAAATTTGTTGGGTGTTAATACAATTTGTGTTTTACTAAAGCGGTTAATTTTGAAATTATTTGCGGTGGCTGGGAATAAATGGAATTTTTCTTTATTTCCAAACTTAATTGAAATCGGTTGAAGAATTGAAACGACGCTGAAAATGTAATTATGTACAGGGTGTGCCTTAGATAAAATAGATTAAAACTTTAGTAATTGTTGTATGCAACTAACAATGCTCCAGTGTGTTTCTTGTTAGTTTGAAATTAATCTCGTAATTTGTGTGGAGCAGCGTTTAAATCATCTTTTGGTGGCATTTATAACAATTACGAGTGTCAAATTGGTTTGTGACAGGCGTGATCATGTCAAGGCCGCAGCAACGGATCGTTTCCATTGTTTTAGTCGGAAGGGTGCAGTGGGATTTACCCTTCGAGTTCCGGAATAATCCGTGTTGCAGTTCACCACCGGCAGTAACTTTAACGATTTCCACTCCGGTTTTATTTTTATGTGTTTGGCTGAGGGGGAAATAATTTGTAACGAGCGAGTGCTACTTTTAACGTCTTTAATATAAATAAAAACTAAAATAACAATAATTATCGTATTACACCGTAAAAGTGTATCGTAAACATAAAAATTCAGCTTTCAACAACGAAGCGGTATTTCTTCGACGGTTACGCTATTTTGAGGTATTTTCAATTCGGTTTTGTGTTTTCGCTTTTTTGACCAACAGTACATTACGACCACCCATACGAACGAAGCGAGGCCTAAAGTGACTAATATCAAAACGGCAATGTTGCTCACTTCCGGAAGATTCTGGATTTGGATCAGGAGAGAAGCTAATTCGTCGGTGGCGGGGATGCTCTGGTCGAAGTAGAACAAAGGGATGAAGAGTTTCGGGACGTCGGCGTACATGCTAAAAAATTCGATTTATCAAAATTTATTCTTTGGTGTGGAAAGATTGCGACTCGGCGAAAATGTTTAAAAAATTATTTACACATAAAAAATAAATAAAAAAAATTATAGAGATTTAGGGCTATACAGAGTGCGCCAGAACTCGCGCCCCAGAGAAAATTTTCAAGTAAGGTAAGATACCAGGAACATGAAAAAAATGTTTAAAAAATTTTATCTGTCAAAAAAAAATTGACATTTATTTTTTGACATTTGACATTTTTTTATATCTATTTAATGATACTGATGATCTTGTATATGTTTTTTTACAATTATTTAGTAAAGGGACAAAAATTTTGAAAATAAAAGCCACAAATAACATTGAAGAGAGTTACAATTTAGGATACAGCTTCCTTGTTTCCTCTTTTAATAGCATGTAGCAAAAAAACTTGAAAAATTATTTTTCCAATAGAAATAAATAAAGTCAAAGTGCAAACTTTAAACCCTCATAACTTCGAAATTTTTATAGATAAAATTTTTTTAACATTTTTCCATGTTCCTGGTATCTTACCTTATATGGCATTTTTCTCTGGGGCGCGAGTTCTGGCGCACCCTGTATAAAATAAAACTTTGTTTTGCTGATTATTGAGGTCTGCTAAATTAATATGTGCCAAAATAAATGACAACATTGTATAATAAAATTTTTGACAATAACTATGACATAAAAATTACGATTAGCTAAATAAAAAAAAAGTTTATTATAAGTTGGTAAAAAAATAAAAATTAAATACAAAGAAAAGTATTATTTTAATGTCGTTTATCTTTCACCAAATAACACTTGGTTGTATACTATTTTTTTACCTTGAATGCAGAGATAAAGCAGAATAACAATAAAAAGTTGTTTCTTTATTTTATTTTTTATGTTTATTTGCTATCATATTGTTTACTTTTTATAGCACAATAAAGATAAAAAAATAATTGTAATGAAACAAAATATAACAAAAATAACCGCCACCAATATAATTTCTTGGCGTTTCAATATATTTTTTATTATCCTTGTTATGGATTCTTAAGGTGTTTGCGAAATACCTAAAGTAAAAGATTTCTTGTTATAAGGATTTCAGAACATTCAACATTTCTAACAGGATTCCTCTTCATATATCAATAATTTCAAATTGCTGCAATTTTATTTTATTCAATCTTCTAGTTAAAATTAAATTTTATCTACTCTTCTCTTCATGTTAAAATGAAATTTTATCGTCTATATGCTAAAAAAATACAACCATTGTTGTATATCTGTGGTTGTTAGTTGCTAACGATCTTTGACATTAGATTTCATTGTTGAATTTTACTTTGACATTTATAAATATCGACCAAATTGACTACAGAATTAGTGAGGATTGAATAAAATTTTATTTTGTACACGACGATGAAATTTTCATTATCTTTTTTAGCATATGTTCTCAAAGATAAAATTCAATTTTATCGTCTTGTATAATAAATAACTATTAATTATTAATTTTTTTTACTTCTGTGTTGGTAATGAAAAATGAAATTGATAACCCACAAAACTACGTTCGTGAATACGATAATAGAGTTTTTTCTTATAGGTATTAACACGCAATTTGTTAAAAACACATGAAAAAATTCAATAATTAAACTTTACACATTTCACTTTACTACTTTTAAATAACTCATGGTCGTTTGTTATCGAATTTTCATCGTTTTGGTTGCTTTTTCTTTCATGACAAATTTACATGACCTTTAATGTCAAATCAGCAACTAAATTCGAACATGCTTGTGATTCGTGATTGAAAAACTTTTTTTTACTAGTATAATAAACTACTATTTTACAGTATTTAAAAAATCTTTTGGAGCAGCTTTGGCCAAGTCGAAAACTTTCACACCTAGAAACCGATTTCAAGTGTGAAAAACTCACGTGATGTGTTCGATTGGCTGCAAAAGAACGTTGACTTGCATCCGGGCCCCGATATCCACAACTATTCCCGACTTCTGGAATATAAATTGAAAAGTTTGTAAAGAGTCAATGTGAAAGTTTCGCCACTTACCGGTTCCAAAGTGATGTAAAATTCGTGTTTGTCCTCCGGTTTTAATCCCTCAATGGCATTATAATAATAAGGATCAGCACCGTAAAAATGGGGCATTGATAGAAAAGTCGGCGAGTTTTCCCGACATTTGGAAACGTTGAAAACACCAGAAGGGTGACAATCGCCCGAACAGAAACACTTATTTTCCGGTCGCAACGTCCCTGCGAAAATTATGATCAAACTATGAATAGAAAAAAATAAGTATGCAACCATTGTCGAAGATGTGTCGAGCCGTGTATTTGTACCCTAAGACTCCTTTCACGTTGACGTCTTTTTCGTATTCGAGTTTAGCGAATTTGCACAATTCGGAGGAGAAAAGTTCTATGTAATCCCGCTTCTGGTTAATGGGGTAAAACTCCCCCGCTGATCCCTTAACGGCGTTACACTCCCCTTCGTAAAACTCCGATTCGTTTTTGTAGTTCCACGTGACGATTTTTCCGAAATCTTCATCGACTTTTGTCCACATGCTGAAAACTCCATCAGAGCCCATTGAGTTATTTTTCTGAAATTTGTGGAATTTTTGTGTAAATTTGCTTCGATTTCGGTTCACGACTTACTCAACTCACCCCGTAAAACAATCCGAACTTATCAACGACTCCCGCCAACGGTACGGTACTTAGTATGCTCAAAATGCTCTCCTTGTAACCATCGAAGAGGATCTCACCGGCCGTTTTAGTCACGTATAAACTAGATAACGACGACAGGGAGTAGGAAATTGTGCGTTTGGAGAAAAAACCAAAATGGCGGGCTTTGTACGCTATTGCCTGCAAAAATTAAACTGATTATAGATCGAATAAACAGAAAATTATCTATTACTAAAACGTTATAGCTTGAACGCTCTCACGCCCGTGTAAAAACGTTAATTTAATCATCTTTGTCACGCGATAGCAATTGTTTATTCCTGGAGATTGTTGGAAAATTTTGACGCACTAAAAGTAGAAAACGGCGAAAAGTAGAGATTGAGTAAAAGTAAAAAACAATAATTCATTCATAATTCTTCAAAGTAGTAGAGTTTTATAGAGAAAAACAGTCCTAAAAGTGCATAAATATTAAGTTTAATAAAAAACTTTAACCAAGAGTGCGTTGGATTTCAATCAATTTGACACTTCTGACACTTGGTGACATTATGCGTCAATGTGCCTCAACCAAAAATGATAGAAAAACGGTAGCAAACATCGCTTTGTAAAGCAGATAATTTACCTAAAATAAGAATAATAAAAAATAGAAACATTAAAACAAAGAAAAGCAAATCTACTAAAAAAATAAAAACAGAAGATTTTCTTTTTTCATCAAATTTTCTGATAATTTAAACGTTTTTTTGCAAAATTAATACAATAAGTATTCATTTTGTTTAAATACTGTGTTTCAGCTTGTCATTAGTTAATTTAAAAGCAAACCAAAAACAAAAAACATCAGAATAAGATAATTTGCGAAGGCAGAACAATTTGATGACAAAACTGATTTAAAAGAAAGTTTTAAAAAAGACAAAGTGACGTTAAAAGCATTTAAGATAGAGTTTACAAAAAATAAGAAAGAAAGAAATAAAGTTGAAAAATTGGAAACAAGGATGTTACAAACTAGTAAAAAGAAAGCACAACATAAGAAAGAATAAAAATATGGAAAAACGGATATTAGACTTAAAATTAGAAGAATGTAGAACAGAAATATTGGAGAAAGAAGAAAATTATTAAAAAGTATCAAAAATGGATAAAAGTAGTCAAAAAAATCGAAACAACATAAAACCTGAAAGTAATTTAATATAACTAAACAGGAAGTCTAAATGAAACAAAAACATAGTAAACAGAAAACAGAAAAATACAAAAGTGTAATGTGAAAATATGAGGAAACATCAATTGAATTCCATTTTTCTCTCAGAGTTAATTTCGGTGGCAAACAAGTGGGAAAAATAATTGTTTCTTGAGCATTTTATGTCTATTTTTTGATGATTGAAAATTACTAAACGAAGAACTGGATCAATTCTATTCAATTTTGTGTAAATTAAAACCCTAATCGATGTTAATCCAATTAGGAGGCAAGAATGACGAGAAACATCGAAAGGAATTAAGAATTTTAACGTTTTTCAATGAAGTGGTGATAAAATATACTGCACCTGTGCTTAATCTCCTTTACACGATAAACTAATTTGAAATCCCAGATTAACTAAATTTATTTTTAAGCACTCTTGAATTACCTAAATTGAGATGGAACCGGTTGTCGTCTACTTTTTGATTAAATTATTAAAAATTAAAATTAATAGATGCATTAAATGTGATGGTGATAAGAGTCGCGTCTTTGCCCCACTTTCAAGTCATTAAACGCCCACTCTTAATCTATTTAGCAACACAATGTCATTTTTTACCCTGAATTAGGTCATCTAATCCCATTTGTCATGATTCAATTGGGATTAGACAAGTGGCCACTTGTCTGGCCCGATACAAGTCCACTCGATTTAGCGTGGTTTTGAACATAATAAAAAAATAACAATTTGTGTCTAGATTTTGCGATAATCTTGCGACTTACCAAAGGCACGACGTTTATTGTGCTTATGACGTCATCCAGCTGTCGTACGCTGTTTTTCGCGTCGAAAAAGTAGGTTTTTTTGTGCCTGTAGCTGATGGTGTTGTTGTTATCATGCCACGTGATGTTGATTTTCTCCTTCACTTCCTTGAATCTGTAAGGACCGATTTCTTGGAATTTGGGTTTGACACCAGGGATGTGTAGATCCTGAGGGTTGGTCCAGTTGAAGAGGTAGATGTCCATGTCCAAGGGCGGGTCGTTTTTTCTCCATACTTTGAACGGCTCAGTCTTTGGTGTGAAAGTCATGGCACTTGTCATCATATAATCGTAAAGAGGTTCAAAATATGCGAAAATTGCGAGTCCTAAACCGATTAGTGCTATTCCTAGGAGTAGGAGGCAGACGTTGCAGCAGGATCGGCATCGTTTCTTCATTTTTTCATTCCTGGAAATGTCTGATTTGAGTGTTTTTACGACGCAGGAATGTTTATCGCGTGGTTTGTTTTGATACACTTACGAAATTTCACGCTGGGTCATGGTGTTGCGAAAATTTTTTAAACGAAATGGTGGTGAGAAATTTTTTCGAGAGTGACATTTGACACGATTAGACAACACTGTTTTTCTTTGATAAATTATTAATAAAGACAGTGAGGGGAACAATAGGTGTACTTACTTGAATATCACAGCATTGTTGTTTGGATGGTCGTACGTCATGGGCCAGACTCGTTGCTTTCATTAAAGAGCAACAAAAGGTCTGCACACAGGAAATAGCACTAATAGTAGAATAATTTCATACAATTATGTTTGAATAAGAGATTTATCTATTGGACGAATAGACTTTAAGAGTCTTATCACACTTATCGGGATGACCTTTATCAGAGCTACTGTAAGCAATGTAATTTAATGCAGAGTGGCCAACATCTTAATTTCTTTATAATTGAATGTTTCGTCAATAGGAAATTTAAACTTCCAAAACAATTTTGTTTAGGAAAAACTCGCATATATACCATTTCAAAAATAGATAAGTCGGAGATAGCGATAAGTATGAGCAGGTGTTGTAATTAAAATTTTACATTGTAGAAATAATAAAAAAAAATGTTTCAATTCGATTTTTCCCCCGATAAAATTTTGATCAAATCGAAGGTGCAATTATTTTGTGCAAGTCAATATTTATACGCTTTATCTTGTGCAAATAATTTTGAAAGAAGTTTTTTTGCAACATTGATTGCTGACAGTGCAGAAAAACGAGAGAAAAAGGTTAAAAGTTATCACGGGTGACGTCTACAAGTTACACAATTGAGGGTTATTAAAGGGAATTTGATTTGTTTATTGTTTTTCAGCTAATCCTCTTTGTGTCTACTTTTAATAACTTTCATATTCTCTCGTGTAATGAAATTCCGACATGATGGTCTTATAAAAGGCTTTTATTTGAGAAAATAATATTATCTTGTCGTAAACAAGAAACAAGGATTTGCTATTGGGAAAAATCATCTATGTTCTTGTCATTATCACAGCCAGATTCTCTTTATCACAATTCCCAATTACAAAGGGGTCGACAATAATGAAAGACAAATAATTACTCAGTTGCATTTACATGTCAATAGCACAATTGATACATTATCCCCCATGTTTCCATAATAAATTAATTCGCTTCAGCATCATAGAAAAAGATATATGTCACCCACCGATCAATCCCTCGCTGATTATTAAATTATTACTTGGAAATGACAGCGCGGTCCTCCAGCACGCCACATATTTGATTTATTATCTCGATTGTAACAATATTTTTGAAATCGATAGTTTCCTTGAACAAACTTAGTTCGCTTGTACTTGGCACATCTGATAACCTTTCACTAAACTTTTGATAATACTGGAGCAAACGAGTCAACAACCCACCGAAGACACACTAAATAAAAATGTTTTCGGTTTTTTAACAGTGTTTGTGAAGAATTAGTCCGGATAATGCTATCATTTACTATAAATAAAGCGGTGGGAATTTATCGCAAAAGTAGGGCTTTATCTTGCCTTCAAAATGCGTAATTTTTGGTACAATGGATGCAACCCACAATATGTTTGTGATAAATAAAATATAAGTATATGTATTTGTCGTTAAATTTTTCCAGAAAAATGTGTTTAGGGCCATAAAACATGATTTTATGTCTTGGAAATTAGGCCAAACAACGTTTTAGCGTCATTAGTTAATTATTAAATTAGAAAAATGTGTTTCAGTTTAAAAACAAGTTTTAAATGTAAATTTTTATCGGTTAGACTTATTCGATTTGTTTATTATGCCTATTATGAGCATTAACCTTGCCATAAAAACAAATGTATAATTTTTCAAAGATTATGTAACTAGCTAGTAACAACAATTTCTCGTTTTAATCAGACTAATGGTTTTCAAGAAACTACTATAAAGCAATAAAAAAATGAATAATATTTGTAGTTGCTTTAATTCAACGGAACTTCCTCGTCTTTTATTACATTATTTTCGTATTTTCTTGAAATTTTTTTTCGACATTGTTTAATAATTAGTGCGATTGAAACAAAACTAATCACAATCATCAAACACCCCAACGATGTACAAATAATTGGTAAATTAATAATCAATTTGATCAAATACATTGGTGCTCCTGTAAGTTTTACATTTTGTTTTGTCCAGAAAACTGGGACAAAAATTTTGCGAGAGTTTTCCACAAGTCTGAAAAAGATTTTTTATTTGAAAATTATAAATTTGGAATTACTTACGGAATGCCTTTGACTGGTCTTATCAAAAGATTAAGTTGAGCTTTTGCTCTCATTTCAATCGGAATACCAGTGGTCTAAAAAACAGTTATCAGAATTTAAATTACGGTTAAACCAAATCTAACCGGTTCTACTATAACCATAGATTCGTGCTTGTTTTTGTCCGGTTTCAAACCGTCAATTAAGTCTAGATAATAGGGATCTGTCCGGAAAAAATGTGGCAGGGAAAAAAAAACTGGAAATTGGTGTCTTGTAGTTGAGAGATTGACCATACCATAGGGTACACATTCACCATTACAAAAACAAGAGTTTTCCGGAAAATTTGTACCTAGGAGTATTTAATAAAAATAAGTTTTGGTTGTATGAGGTTGGTACCATTGTCTAAAAATTGGTCTCCGGCAATGTATTTGTACCCCAAAACGTTGTCAACCATTTCCGTTCCAGCGAATTGCATGGGCAATTTCCGGCGCAAATCCGGTGAAAATGCAAGCAAATTTTCCGGTTGTAGATCGCTCGGGAAAAACTGGCCACTATACCCAGAAACGTCGGAACAATTTTCATGGAAAAAGTGAGTTTTTGTGTCGTATTCCCAGTTGTAGATTTTACCCAATGTTGAGTTAATTCCGGTGCCCATGTTTATGGCTCCGGCAAAATCGGTGGTACC